CCGCTCCGCTATTGTTCTGCAGGGACGAAGCTCTGGGCTTGTGCTTGACCGCATGGCCCAACGGTCGCGCACGTGGTAATGGCGGATACATTACAAAAGCCTTTTAGAATCTCACCATTTATGAGTGCTGCTCCATTGGCTATAGAAACCAAACTCAACGGAGAAGTCAGCCAGGCATGTGGAAATATATGTTAGCTGTGGTGTAAACCTGATGTGGGAGTAACTAAGGTTACATTAGCACAGAAACACATTTATTTAATGCTTCTATGTGATCAGACTGGACAAGAGCATCGTTAAACACCCTGTTGACAGTAATTCCTGCAATAACAATGTTTATAGAAAAGCAGGCTGTAGTTTAAGAAAACACACCTCAGCAGAATGAGCAGAGCACCCACAAACAGGTACATTTTTATTTAACCGTCTTGGGGGGGTGGGGGTGGGGGAGGCACAGGCTCATTTAAGCAAAGTTCTCCTGAGCAGGATTTTGAACAGTCTGGTTCACACCTGCAAGGCAATCACTTGATTTCTCTTACATTTGGTATCCAAATGAACTGAATTTATTATTATTTTCTTAAAAGCCCGTAATAACTTTTTAGGAGGACTGATCAAAGGCTTGGATCCAGCAAAGTGCAAACAGAAACATAAATGACTTAGTGCTGTTTTGCTTATACAAGATCTTATGCAACCCCTTACACTTTCCCCTATATATTATACAGTCCAGAAATTGGTTTCTCTTGGTCCTGTGCCAACAGCAACGCAAGTGAGCATACAATAATTTTTACTCAGTGCAAGTAGCTATTACAGTCTCTTTCTTGTGTTTGCACAGGAAATCTAGCACAAGCCCACATTTGCTGCTGGATCCGACCCAAGATATTGCAAAGCAAACAGCAAGTAGATTGCTCTGTGAAAAGTAAACTCATCACAATAAACCAGTTTAACAAGGTAAACGTCCAGTGGCTTGCATCCTGTGAAACTGCAGCTGCCCACTGCAACCTGGTGGACGTAAACTGCATAACAGCACCGCTTAATTCTCAAGCCTAAACTCAGAGCGGAGAGATTCCAGTGAAGCCATGAACACTGCAGTGATTCTGTAACCCTGGGCAGAAGAGCTTGGGTTCAAGAACTCTAGTTTGAAAACAGTCCTTTTCAGTTCTGCCATCTCTGTGATTCTGTGCTAATCCCGTCACCCACCAATTAAACTGACTCTGCCAGAAGCACCTTCTGCCCAGACGCCATCTGTGCAAGATCACAGCCAGGGTCCTACTCCTAGGAGTTCCAGGGTGTGCTCAAGGACATCTTGTCTCCTGATGCGTTGTGCCCTCCCTGAACTAGATGCTGGATTGGGTAATGGAATTGGTCTTCAAGGCCCTTAGCAGTCAGGGACCTATGTACCTATGTATACCACCAAAAGAGCACTGTGCTCTGCGGACCAAAATCGATTGGTGATCCCTGGCCCTAGGGATGTCCGTCTGTCCTCGACCAGAGCCAGGGCCTTCTCTGCCCTGGCTCCAACCAGGTGGAACTCTCTGTCAAACAACATCCGTGCCCTGCGGGACCTGTTACAGTTCCACAGGGCCTGCAAGGCCAGGTGTTTGGTTGAGGACAGCAACAGTTCCGTTCTGGCACTCCCACCCCCCTCCCCTCCTGTGAGATAGTGGAGCCTTATTGGTTCTTTGCGCCACCTCTAGCTGTATTTTTGTTTGCTAGTGGTTTTAACCTGATTTTAATTGATGTTTTATGACTGTGTCATGCACCGCTCTGAGTCCGGTTTACTGGAGGAGAGCAGTTTAAAAGCCAAAATAAATAAATAATATGGATGGTATGTGTAAACATATGAATTATCTGAGATTTGGCAAACCCAGGGTGCTATTTAATTACCGTAAATTCCTTCTGATTAAGCTATATCCTATTCAAGTCTAGTTTATTGTTTTGGTCCTTTTCATGGTAAGGAATACAGAAAATTTGGGAACAGGGGATTTTCTGCTGACTGGAGCTGGTTAATTGGTAGGTAATCTCCATGCTTTCATCTCTGTCTCATTTCTTTTTTGTTCCCCTACTTTCACCCTTTTCTTACTCTTGCCTGAAGCATTTGCAGTCTACTGATTTTGGTTCTCTCTTTCC